CGGCGGCATACATTCCCCTACTTTCCCTGCCCTACTTTTCCCAGCCACCACCTACCCTACAGGAGACCTCCCAGGCACCCCAGGCCTCCTACCTAGTTAGTCTGTTACTAGAGTTGTATATGACCATGAAAAGGGTTTGACAAAAACCTTTTCCATAATCATGGCAGAAAGCACTCAGGGGTGGGGTAGAGGTCAGTGTTAAGATTGGGGGAGAGCCGCTTACTTGCCACAGAGCTCCTCTGTTAGGATTTCCCAGATTCGGTAACATAGAAAAGTGTTTCTAGTATTAGAAAGGACTGACAAGAGCAGCAGACAGGTTCTACTGGCAACATTTAATAAATATAACTAGGTTCAGAAACGCTGAAGGAAATGACCCCGCCCCCCAAAAAGGAATTAAAAAATAAATGTACTCTATACTCTAGGCTTAAGATGTGAGCAGTGCTGTATTCTAAGTTATTTCAAACCACTTATACTTGTTTAAAGTGAAGATCAAATTTTTTCACCATAACTTTGTAATAATTCAGATGTGAAAAGGACCTAGCAGTAAAACTTATTCTACATTAAGTATCACGAGTAAACATTTCTAAATCTTAGCATTAGAATAATATCATTCCCTTAAGCCCATGTTTTAAACTTGATATACCTTCAACAAAATTTTACAAATAGAGCACACAAATCAAACATTATGTTTTAAATAGTTAACTACAAAATAGAAGGCTGTCCTCGATGCTATTATCAACCCATTTTTCCTGAGGTTTATACTTTTCAAACAAAATGTTAAAAACATCAACACAAAGTTATATAAAAACAAAAGAGAACTTAAATGCCAAAAAAAAATTAAGAAACAACTTAAAAACTTATATTCCAGATATGGGGTAGAGGCTAAAGCCCTAAAAGAAATAGACACAAAAAGACAATGCAGAGCCTGCATTTATTCATATCTGACCTTGTTCTACTCCTTCACAAAAACGTGAGCAGACAAGGTGCCCAATACTTTAAAAATTAAATGTGAAATAAGAGGGTAAAGAAACAAGTGAGTATAATCCAGCCTACAACTAAATACCAAAAATATTCTTTTCTTACAGGTTACTGGTGTTAGAGCCAGCCAGTATAAAAAAGTAACAGAAAATTCCATCATTAATGGGACTTAGGGAAAATCCAAATACTGTAATTTACGTTAAAACCACTCTCTAGATGAAGGTAAATTAGCATTCACTGAATGAGTTTATGGGGCACCTGGGTGTCTTAGTCGGTTAAGCATCCGACTTCGGTTCAGGTCGTGATCTCGCAGTTTGTGAGCTCGAGCCCCGTGTCGGGCTCTGTGCTGACAGCTCGGAGCCTGTTTCAGATTCTGTGTCTCCTTCTCTCTCTGCCCCTCCCCCACTTGTGCTCTCTATCAAAAATAAATAAATGTATAAAAAAATTTTTTAAAACACTGAATGAGTTTGGCCTTAAGTAAGGGTAACTTTAAGATGAGCTAACTGAGGGGCGCCTGGGTGGCGCAGTCGGTTAAGCGTCCGACTTCAGCCAGGTCACGATCTTGCGGTCCGTGAGTTCAAGCCCCGCGTCAGGCTCTGGGCTGATGGCTCAGAGCCTGGAGCCTGTTTCCGATTCTGTGTCTCCCTCTCTCTCTGCCCCTCCCCCGTTCATGCTCTGTCTCTCTCTGTCCCAAAAATAAATAAACGTTGAAAAAAAAAATTTTTTTTTTTTTTAAATAAAAAAAGATGAGCTAACTGAATTAGAGTTGTGGTGATTACTCATGAAATAAGAACATGTGAATGGAGGTGGTACAAATATGGGCCTACAGAGTCAACTGAAGTGTGGTGTAAAAATATGTGAGAATTTGACTTCCCCAAACCCAGACTGCCAAGCTCAGAAGTTTCCTTGATCATGGCACTTTCAATGGTTTCAACAAACACATCCATTCACTGACATGATCATCAATAATGGGATTCCCAACAGCAAAGTTCCTTCTTACCTGTCTTTGATGATCCAGATCTGCTTTATTACCAATTAAAATCATTGGAAACTCATCCCGATCCTTCACTCTGAGAATCTGTCTTTGAAACTTATAGATTTCTTCAAAACTAAAACAAAAACAAATTAATTTGCTCAAATCTCAGAATTTGGCAAGTTCCACAGCCCATTTAGTACCTTATTACTTTTCCTTTTTCTATAAAAACAAGAAAATCCAAATTCAATAAAACAGTGATCTACACATGAACAGGAGATCTACATGTTAATACTAGTACAAACCTGCCTCGATCTGTGACTGAAAAGACCAACAGGAAACCCTCGCCGGTTCTCATATACTGTTCTCTCATAGCTCCAAACTCTTCTTGTCCTGCTGTATCCAGAACTAAAGAGAAAACAACACATGTAACCGTGTTCGTGTTTTCATTTTATGAATGACTTTCCCATAAGGGCAGGGCCCAATTAATGTGGGTCCTTTAGAGTATATATTTTAGACTCAGTGAAATAAACAAAAAGCCTTCTCTTCCTAGTGCTTTATTCTCAACACTAGAGACAAATATATCACCCAGCAGACAGTTTCAGAGTCATCTTCATCAGTACGAGTTGATTTTTGTAAGCTAGAATATATTAGCATACCAATTACAAAGTTAAAAATATCAAATATATCTAGGCAGATGGAGTCAGACAACCTCTAAAGTCACTTGGATGTTTTATCTCCTCCACAGAAAGGACTGAAAAAGATACCCATTCAAGAAAGATCCCTTGGTCTACTCCCCCCAAACACCTTAAAGAGCAGGCGCTAACGTTATTTACTGATCTCTCTGAATGAAAGAATCCTCGAACTTAAAAGAACAGGGCTATCTTTTGTGGAGATGTGTAATGTGTAGCCAAGCCCAAAACACTATTTGCTAAAGCCTCCTCCGTGCTATAAATTCTAAGCAAGTTGACAAATATTGACTCTTTTTCTATATTTACTACACCCATTTTAACCTTTGCAAGAAAGTAGATAGGGCTGAAACTTCATGTTTCTTTCCAAATGTCCCTAAAAATTCAACTCCAACTAGTTACCATGACATGATTAGTTTCACCAGCACAAGATCAACACAATTATTGTTTTATATTACATTTGCTGAGGAATATTTAAATACCTTAATATGTAGGATAAATATTTAAATATTCAAATATCCTAATATGCAGATTCATCAATCAAAGCTGATGAAAGACACGGGCTTCAAGACCACATTTCAATTGTAGTATGCAACCTAGCAAAACACCCAAGCTTACTTTTCAAAAATATGATATGTAAACTATCAAATAAAGGAAGATTACTTACTATCTAGCCGGGCTGCTCTGTCATCTATCACACACTGCTTTGTGTAGGAATCCTCGATGGTTGGGTCATAATCCGTCACAAAATAGGACTGTAAGAAAAATAACCTCATTTTTAAATTTATGTTTACTTGCCCACCCAAGTACCAATTAACTTTATCAAATCTCACTGATACAGAATGAATAGCAATAGTTTCATTGTATTAAGGTTTCTCCTACTAAACCTTAATAAACGTTTACTACCTTATTTGGTTTACAAAAATAGTAGTATCCTACTACAGTTGGTTTCCAACTGAATAAAACGTATTCAGAGTAGCTTCCAAGTGGAGAAAACGTACTGATATCTCTGAATCCTCCTATCGGATATATGCAAGAAGACTGCAAAAGACCTAATGCAGTGTTTTCATAATTATATATAATTTTTTCAATTATATATACCTAAGATGGGTGTATACACACACACACACACACACACACACACTCACTCACTCACACACACACAGTGCTCACAGTCTTACAAAAATAGAAAAAACACAGTTATAATTCAAGTCTATCTGCAACCCAGGGGTAAGCATCAGTTCTAAGAACAAAGGAGTCTGAAACAAAGGAAGACAAACAGCCTGGAAGATCCCACACCCCACCTTCATTTCTCCCCTTCTTTGCTCATACTTGGTTTTTTCCCATTCATTTGTCTTGTGTATTATCATAAGGAAACATGATTTCGGAATTTTTTTTTTCTTTTGGCTGGGATCTCAAACTTACTCCTTCACTGTTATTTTTGTTGTTTGTTTTTTTTTTCATCTCTAGCATCTATTTCTGTCTTTCTCTGTTAGCAAAGCCTCCCAACTTATCTTCTGCAATCAGCAGAAGAAAGGACAGTTAAGGTAGCAGAGTAGGAAGGGAAGAATCTCAGTGAGCCAGTTAAAAATGTTTGTGTATTACACTTCACCGTTTTTTAAAGGTTTTAAAAAGAAAACAACAGCGACAGTAAGACTCAAAGAGACTTATTTCCCACTTCTTAAAAGGGCACTAACTAGGACACTGACATCATCCTTCTTTTGTTCTGAGCATCTCCTTTGCTCTCCCCTCTTGACTGACTTCCTCAAAGCCTACTTTCCCCCTGGCTCATTACCAAATCTGAGGGAATGACTTGGAGGAAGGCAGCTTAATGCTGGGAGCCAGAGCCAAAGGGGTTCAGCCATTCTTCAGGCAAGGGTTCCTGGCAGCTAGACCTGCTGGCTCCAGGGACACAGCATTCTTAAGTGACAACCCCCGGCATGTGTAGTATGCAAACACCAAGAAGCTACTCAGAAGTAGGCACTCTGAACAAGACTTCTAAAGAAACTCCTGGTTGGGGAGTTGGGGGTGGGAGGGAGACACAGATCTGCTTGCTACTACTATGACCTCATATATTGTATTTTTGAAGGACACTTTCCATACTTTATTTACATTTTAGGATTAACTTTAATTGCTTAAATGCAGGGGTTTTTTTGTTTTGTTTTGTTTTTACAACAAAGTCAGTAAAAGAAACATTTACCAACAAGAGCAGCTCTGAGTAGAAATCCATCTCCATCACCACCCTATTCCCATTTAAAAATAAACAGATATCAAAACAGAGATTATACTTTTTGGCCTCCCCACCTCTTCAAAAAGTGATACAACTGGCAACAAATAGTACCTTTATGCCCACTATTCTAAATAACTTAAAACTGCAGTCTTTCCCCAAGCAAGTTGGATAAAAGCATGCTGTTTACATCTTTTTAAGATTAGTTTCCTGAAACAGGTTCCTCAGCAAGAATCGGATACTTCCTGCCATGCTTTTCATCTTGTAAAACCTGAATTTTATTGACTACTCCCAGTTTATACCTAAATGTGCTAAAATGTGCTGCACTGTCCCTCCCATTTTGAAAAAATAATGGACAAATATTAAATATACTTTAATCATGAATAACTAAAATTCTTTCGATGTGACAGGGTTGTTGTTTTTTTTTTTTTTTTTTTTTTTTTTGCACTGTTGAGACAGAATTAAGACATTAACGTATGTAGAAGATTATTGGGTTTAAGTAACTTTGAGGGCCATTAAAACAAATTTTGTTTTCCTTTTAGTGGCTATTTAAGTTTCACATTTTCTTTGGCCATCTTAGCTCCTGAAACATAATAAAAATTTTGCCACTTAGCTAACTAACACTGGCATGCACTTGTTTCACTGATATTAATTTTTAAGGCAAACTAATTGCTGGAATTTCTAGATATTTAGGTCTACATTTCATCTTCATTGTGTCCTGTTTTCAAACTGCACCTGTAGGGACCATCGCCTTGTTGCTATATATCGATTTTAAGGAGCCATCCTTTTTGTAAGCATCTTTCTCCTTCATAAAAATTCATCCTAAGGGGCGCCTGGGTGGCTCAGTCGGTTGGGCGGCCAACTTCGGCTCAGGTCATGATGTCGCGGTCCGTGAGTTGGAGCCCCGCATCGGACTCTGGGCTGACAGCTCAGAGCCTGGAGCCTGCTTCAGATTCTGTGTGTCCCTCTTTCTCTGCCCCTCCCCCATTCACGCTCTGTCTCCCTCTGCCTTTCAAAACTGAATAAATGTTAAAAAAAAAAAAATTCATCCTAAGGAACACCGCTCCAGGCCCTGACTGACACAGAATCCAAAACCCTCTTCTCTCTCGAAATTCCTATAAGCCACAAGTCACAATGTGCCTAAAAAGAGCATTCTTCATGCGCAGGTAGCAGGTAACGTATATAATCATCCTCTCCCACTACGAAGACATAATGTTTCTGTTACTTAAACCCAGGCACCAGATATTTAAGGTAGCATATCACCAACAAGAAATCAGTCTCTGGTGATGGACAGTGCTGGATTTGATACTAACTGTGCCACTTTCTAGCTGTGGAAACTGAGACATGTTACTTCTCTGACCTTTAGCATCTGTAAAATAGGACAGTAACAAACCCTCCTGGAGCAGATAAACTGAAGAAATATTTATAAAGTGCCAAGACATGCTGATGATTGATAAATGTTAACCACACTGTATTATTACTTCTGTCACACAATTAGATGATATGAGTTAGTGTTTTTATTCAAGTATAAAGACCTGTTAATCCCAGGAACAGCTGTAATAATTCCAATCCTGCTTATACCACAAACCAACCTTGGGACTTGGTATCCAAAATGTTGTGAGTCAAGATAATCTCCCCATCTGGAGTTTTGGAGATATTGTCTGGAACCTGAGCAGTAATTACACAGATATACACATAGGTAAAAATTCATCAAGCTGTACACAAGCTGTGTGCACTTTTTTGTACATATACAAATTACACCTCTATATAAGACACACAAATTTAATGGCCCCCTACTGTTTACAGGATTCAGTACTTTACGCAACATGCAAATCCTTCTAGTTTGATCTGTGCTGCTCACCATTTGAAGCCTTATTTTTCACTACCTAAAGTCCTCAGCCAATTGCTCTTGCTATCCTGGTTTCATTCGTTTGACAGTTTTTTATAGAGAGCATCACAGGGACAAGGCCCTATTTTCACAGAGCCCACTGCTTTTTAGACAACACCCAGTAACTGCGCTGTGGCTGTGGGTGAGAGGAATAGAGAATGTTAAATGTACTGGCCAAAGAACTGAATACCATGCTAGTTCAGAAGGCAACAAAACATAAGTGGTTAATACCCTACTCCTGTAGGAACTGTGTGTACACTCACTTATAAACATAGTCCAGCAATTTGCCAAAAAAGAATACAGTCTCTCTGAGGCTGCTTGAAGTTACCAACCACAGTCCAGAAAGGATATTCTATAGCAGATCGTAAGAAAAAAATAAGTACAGTATTTGCATAGCAGAAGACCATAGAGAACAGTACAGAAGAGGGAAGGGGGACAGCAAAGAGAAAGTAATGTGCTTTCTTGGTATCACAAGAAAGAATGCATGCAGAAGGATCCCGGAAAGAAAGAGAACGCCTGCTTTCAAAGGGCAGGATGCCTTCCAGGTAGTAAGAGGGGCAAATGGAGCTAAGTCTCTTTAAGGTTAAGATATACAGAGAAAAGTTTAGAATTAGGGAAGCTATCCCATTCACACAGGGAGTCTATTTCCCCCTGATAAAATCTGACAACCTGGCGTGGGTAAGGTCGTCAGAATCCCTTAGTAACACAAGAGCATTATGCTGTGATGGCAGGAATAGTATTCCTGATTATGTGCCACTAGATTGCACAACAGGAATTCTGCTTGGCTTAAGAGAATTGCCAGCTCGCCATCTTCCCATTCACAGCAGCCTTAAGGAAGAAACAGAAGGGGGAAGGGGAGGAAAGAGAATAGGCTGAGGCCACTTCTGCATTCAGTGGGCGAGTGAGAGCCCACTTTCTCCTGACCCCCAGCTACTGGTGAGAGTGCAGTTCCCAAGCACTGCCACAGAGCGGTGTCTGGTCTATACACTGGGACAGGTAATGTACTGGAAATTGTGTGGAACTCCATAAATCTAGCACACTGGTTAAATTCACTACCCTTGCATATGTAAAGACAGGAGGCTAGATCTAAAGTGCCACTGGGGAGTTTTAAACAAACGACAGGACATTTCTGAGCACAGTGCCATTTTCAGGAAAGTCTCAGGAGTCCTCTAAAAACATGGTGTACAGGAGGAGGGGAAAGGGAGACTTTTTTTCTTGACATCCTAGTCAGCTCACCCTTTTCCCCCACACTACACACAGAATCCACATCATGAAACATTCCAGGTACAGAATTCTGTGGTTCTCTGCTCCCTTCCACTCCAAGTCAGTACTTTCCTATTCTTAATTCTATCCACAAAATCTGTATTATGGTTTTTTTTTCAATTATGATAGAATAAACCAAAACAGGTTTCCTAAGGGCCCATTTTCTATTAATACAAGCACTTATAAAGTCTTTGTTGGTAACAGCATGATGAGAAGAAAACTTATGGGCTACAGGGTCTGAAAAACCTAAAATTCAAACCCAGATACCGTTCCACTACTAGAGTCCTTGGGTAAACTGATTAACATCTCTAAAGCCCATTTTCTTAACAGAAAAGGGTAAGAAGAGGGATAATTTAAGGAGGGCATGTCCCAGTGCC